GTTAAGAAGTGTTGTTCATCCCACCTTCCTCAAGGCGGCTGAGATGAACAATCACCATGGCCCCACTGAATTTGTTCAATCATGAAGGGTTAAGAACCTCCAATAAAACTTACAACAGAGTGCGGCTTCCGTTGGGAGCACGACATGCCATGGGGTGCATGACTCACCATGGGGACTGACTTCTGTACCTCGGACTCTTCTGACCTCACCATATGTCTCTTCATCTGCCTTCATTTGTATTTTTATAACATCTTTTATATACCAGCATTAAATAATCATTGAATATACAAACCCAAAAAGTTTTGCAGACCTCAATGCAAACACACTTGAGAACCTAGATGAAACGAGTATTGCTCAGGAAATGGTTTATTAATCGACCGAATAGAGGATACGCAAAGCTTAAGTGACATTCATAGAGAAGGAAATATTAAGCACTTCTTCCGAAGAAGTCAGGTCGTAGAGTTGAGGAGAATTACCAGACATTTCAACGAAAGATCCTGCTGCTTTATAAAATTTCAAAACATGGGAACCAGCTTCCAACTCTTTTTATGAAGGCAAGTGTAAGCTACAGCATGTGTGGGAAGATAAAGGACCTCTCACCTCAAGATGTCACTTGGGAACCCAGGAGTTTTGTTTTCAACATGCCAGGATTGCAGATGTGGATTAAGTTCAGGCTCAGATGGGAGATTAATTCTTAGATATCTGGTGGGCCACACCTATCTACAGGGTCCTGTAAGGGAAAAGGGGTGGGGGGAGAGCCGAGAATTGACAAAAGAACTGGAGAAGAGGGAGCAGGAAAAAGAAGAGGAAGAGAGAGAGGGGAAGGATGACTCAGATCAGTTACACTGCTGACTCTGAAGATGAGGGGAGGCTGAAGGATGGCAGGCCGGCCTAGAACCTGCAGAGCAAGAACAGATTCTCCTTGAAGCTCCAGAAGATTAGCCTCAGTAAGACCCTTGGGGACTTCACTTCTAGAATAGAGATAATTTTTTTTTTTTAAGGCATGTGGTACTTTTACAGCAGCAATAAAAGTACATAATCAAGATATGTACACAAAGAAAATATGAGGTATATTATGTATTGATGCACACATCTAATATAGTCGCAGAATTCATATCATATTAAAGAAATACACAATGTTATGGAATTTTTTATTCCCGGGTTTGAAAGGGTCGATTTCATTTCTTACTAAATAAACATAAAGTTCATATTAGTTATATAGATTAAGAGAAAAAATTGACATTGTATAGAATGCCTGAAGCTTTGAAATTAACACTCCATTAATGTAACAAACAATAACAAAAAAGAAAAAAAGACCTTCAGGGCCCATTTCCTTAACAGTAAGCGGTATATATTAGTCCTTAGCCTGGCTGTCACTTAACGGGCAATATCCTAATAATTTCACTAAGCAGAACAGGTAACATTATGAATTATTCATCTCAATTACCACATTTCAATGATATTCTGTAGTAGGAAGAATCCAATAATATATATGTTGTTGCCATATTACTTTTATCCACCAGGGTCTAGGTGAAGACACCTCAGTACGCTTATATCTAAACCCCAGATCCTTGGTGTCCAATGCCCATGCTCTTCTAAAGAGTTAGGCGCCTCTTGAGAATGGCTGGTTCTGATGGGCAGCCAAACAACAAGAACCTGGCTTGTAGGCAGAAAATGAAGTTGCTCGAAAATGATGAGGCCACTTCAAAACAATAGAAAGAACAGCAAGACACCAGTGGGCAAATCTAAGATATATTATTTTGGTGTAGTGTTCACTTCAAATTATACATGCAAAAAAATCATGGAATTGAGATCGATCCACAATCAGCTAAATAATAATAGAAGGAAATCTTTATGGTGATACCTAGAATGTGGGAGGAAAAAGAGTTCGAAAATACCGTTTTGCAGTCATATTTTTTATCAAAAAATGACACTCAGGCAAGAATCCATGATCGCCAAAGCTGTGATGAATACTTTTTATAAAAAAGAAAAAAATAACCCAGTATTATAGTTGGATTAACCTAGAAACACAA